TTTCTACATATAGTAGCAATGTATGACTATAGCATTTTTCTGGGGGGAAACTGAGCACGTATTTTTATTACATGTACTTACTTTTTTAAATCCCCATCATCTTTGAAAAAGCTGTTTTTCCTCATTTGCCCATCCAATGGAATCCCTTGCAATTTTGTTAGAGAACATTGGCAGCAAATACTCTCCTCTTTATTCGCCAAGTTATTTCCACCAATTAAATAGAATGAGAATTTTAATCTATAAAGAAGAGATTTGCTTTCCATTAAAGCACCAAGTAATAACTTCTTGATTTCTTTTTTTAACATTTGGTAGAAAATATATGACAGAATTTTATAGATGTCTAAATGATTATAAAACTGACCCAGCCAAACTTTCAAAGATATATATTCAAAAAAAAAATAAAATTTATGAATCCAAATGCAGTTGGAATGTGGACGTGATGATCTATTTTCCTTTGTTACAGTCCCGTTGATGCACTTAATTTACCATTTTTCAAAAATTAAGCTCAAGAGCTGTTAACCGTGTACAAATAAGATTTTAATGGTAACAATGATACGTTTTATTTTATGATTTATACATCATGCAGAAAAGGCACAGTGATTAGCAACTGAACTAGTTACATAAAACTTAAGCAAGTTTAGAAAAAAGATAAAGATTGCATTTAGCATGTTTAGATAAACAAACTTTGCATTTTGTGCATTAAAATCTGAAATAATTTGAGGTAAATGGTACTTACATTTCTGTATATGAAATGTCTTGACACAGCTTTAAAAATCCACACAAAGAACACATATTTCAATTTTAAGCTTTCTTTTTTACATAACACCTTCAACGTTCTTCTGTAGGAAACCTCCGTGATTAAAATGTTGGACGGCTAAAAAGATGCAGATTTGACCATCCCGTCCTATCAGATATCACGATTACCATAGAAACTGGCCAGTCTCACGCTGTGAAAACCCCTGTCCTAATTGCTTGGTCAGAAAATGTGCTCTTATCTTGGAATATGCTCCCTAAATCCAACACTTTAGAAAAATTATGTAATGGGAGTCTTTATATAGTGTGTTCGTCTTATATTTTCATTTTATTTTTTTGACCTGCAATTAAGTAAATTTAGATTTATGCATAATTAAATAAATTTTTATGTTATTCTCAAAAACATTTAATTTATTGCTACGTTTAAAAATTTAAGTATATTTTACGTTAAATAGCTTGATATATCACCATGCATGTTTATTTAGGACACACGATATGTGTAACATTAAATACATATAATTAACTATTTTTTATCTTTTACTCTCTCTCTCTCTCTCTCTCTCTCTCTCTGTCTTTGTCCGATTATATAAAGAACACGTCACCCTGTTCCCTGAATTCTGACTTCACCCCAACGTTGGCTCAACGTTGTCTACCCAACAAAATGTATTAAAATAGGGACGTAATTCACAATGTTAGCCCAACGTTGGGTCAACGTTATACTCCCAACAAACTCCGTCAACTTAATGGTGACAAGCTAACAACAGTGGCCCAACGTTGGGCCAACGTTGTGTCCCCAACCAACCTCGGCTTCTGAAGAAAATAGTGTTATGTTGACATTGGCCCAACGTTGGGCCAACGTTGTACTCCCAACAAACTCCGTCAACTTAGTGGTGACAAGCTAACAACAGTGGCCCAACGCTGGGCCAACGTTGTGTCCCCAACCAACCTCGGCTTCTGAGTAAAATAGTGTTATGTTGACATTGGCCCAACGTCGGGCCAACGTTGTACACCCAACGCCAACCATCGGCCAACGGTCCAACCATTAGCCAACGTTGGGCCAACGTAGTCATGCTATCTGGGTAATTCCTTAGAAATCGTTATGAATGGACTAATCCCCGTGCGTTAGTCAAGTGAGCTAATCCCTGCTTCGAAAGCTAATTCCCGGTTATCCGAAATCCTCTTGATTTTACTTTTACATTGGTATGATATGTGAATGGACTTAAATTATCCTTGAGTTTTAGTTCAGTGAGCTAATCCCTGCTTTGAAATCACGCTATCTGAATCCTCTAAATTTTAAATTTGTATCGGTATAATGAAACAGTTAAAAGTATATCATTGCGGATGGCCAATGTCGCTTTTCCTGTCAATTTTTGAATTATTTTTCTTGCAGTTTTTCTCAATATTTTCACGATATGTCCAATAAGCATCAGAAAATGAAGATAGAATTTATTTGACACACATTCAATTTTTATGAAGTTTCGGCTTGTTTTATAACGAAAATAATCATTTTGATCAGAAAAGTTCATTTCAAAGTTTATAGCGATTTATCCTTGGGCTGTGCGACTATTTGCTTTCCTTAAAGACGGCGAATAAAAAAAAAAAAAAAAAAAAAAAAAAAAAAAAAAAAACTATTCTTACTTGGATTTTAATTCATAACAAATATTTTTGATATACAATAAGTATATTTAGGAGCATTTAGTTAGACAAAACGTCATTGTCCAAGAACGTTATGGACAACCCTCATATATATATATATATATATATATATATATATATATATATATATATATATATATATATATATATATATATATATATATATATATATAACTCTGATTTAAGGACTAGGGAGACCAGACCATTATATATGGCTTAAGGAGACAATATACAATTTTTTTAAATTTGCTTTTTTCTAAAGAGAAATACCAGATCAAAGATCTATAGAACACCATTTAGTCGACTCTTGCTTTATTTTTTCATAATAAATGCCTCCTAAAAATATATGAAAAAAATGGTCTCCTTAATATTTTATGTTTCTCTCATATGACTTAAGGAGACCAGTGTATATTTTTTATAAATATAACTTGTGGTTTAAGTAGACCATTTTTCTTTCATAGTAATTTCACTATTTCACTTAAAACATAAAATTTCAAGGTTGTGATTAAGATTCAGTAAAAGTTATGCCCCATCCAGTATAGCAATATGTGGATGCCATGTTCAATATACATATTTGCTATCATTAAACTTGCAGAGACCATGAATCAAAATAATTCAAATGCTTAAAAATCATTTTATTTTTACTGCTAGTCAAAATACAGTCACTCAAGCATATCCTTTGTTAATTTGAAAAAAAAATGATAGTTTAACATTTATTATTAATACCATACCAAAGCACAAGATAGTGCACTTCTTACATAATCCAATGATTCATGCTGTGATTTTACCTATTTAGATGTTTCTTATTTACAGTTCAGTATACATGATATACCAGTACAATGTGACACTAACCTAGTATCAGCTAAATGGATCATTACTATTCTGTTTTTAAGAAGTTTGCAGGGTAAAAAGTATAATAAAATAAAAATGTTGATACATTTATTGATTGCATATGCTAAAAACTTTTATAAAATATCAAACATTGTATCATAACAGCTTTTACAAATGAATTCAATACATTCAAAGGTACAAAAATCAAATTATTTTCATCCACAGTTTTATCATATTCAGTTGAACAACAGCTACATCTATTATATAAAATGTATGGTAGTTGGCACTGATGGTATATATATCCTGAGCAAAGAAAAAACATACCTAATCAAAGAATACAAAGCTCACTTCTATAAATGTTATCTACTAGTAAGGCAAAGTCCCACTCAACAAACACTCTGGTAATGTATATCACCTGGATCCAAAATCTATGCATGTTGGTCTGGGTTAGATTTAACTGCTCAATAACCCTGAAAATGTATGTTACATCCAGCATCAGAAGCAGGATACATCATCTATGTTTACTGATCACCAAAGAGTATATTGTTACTTTGAATGAACCTTCTCTAAAAAACTGGTCATTAATCCAGAAAATCTAAGTCAAATCAAGGATTGGTACCCTGAAACATTTACATGTACATACATCATCTTTGCAGGTTTGTTCAACATAGAGTTTATAATTACATGAGAATTGGACTGCTCAAAACACTTAATCTTGTGGAGTCCCCCATGTGGCGCAAAGGAGAGAGTTTGTAATCTAGAGTCGCGAGTAAGGATTTAATCCTTAAGTCTCAGGTTCAAATCCACTGGGGTTGTGGGGACCAGTCCTTCAGATTAGACCATATAAACTGAGGTCCCGCCTAGCAGTTGATGTGGGCACAAAAAAGATCCCTTACTGCTCAAGGCCCTGAGTGCAAAGTATAGGTCAAATTTTGCAGCTCTCCACCAGCAAGTAGTGGCATCTCCATATGGATGAAAAATTCTTGAGAGGGATGTTAAACAACAAACAAACAAAAACAAAAAAAAAACCACATGAGGAAAATGTAGATCAGGTCAAGCATCTGAAGTAAATCTGTTAATGTGCTTTAATCCATGCAAGTTTGTCCAGGTAGAGCTTAGGAATGAACCTTGCTCCTTAAATTTTAACTGGGATGACAATGCTAGGTATATAATAAGAACTCATCTAGACTGTCCAGAAAAGCTAAAAAATATTTAGCAATTTCTTACTTGCATGATTTAAAAAAATCTGCAATCTAACATTATTTAAAAAAAAAAAAAATTCAACACATTTTCTAATTTTCAACAAATTCAATGCACTATGAGACGATTTAACATTTCTTAACCACATACACTGTACTTAAAGTGCAATATACATGCATTATACTGTATGTTAAATCTTTACAGTTTTCTTCAAGTACTCTAATAGTATATGAAATATGAAGATTACCAACAGTGATCAAGCTTTAAAGTCCATTGAAACAATACATAATTAGAGCAGAGCAAACACAGACCTCTAAAAACACCAGGTGCAATGGAGGAGAAAGCATTTCCTGCCATGTGCTCCTTGACATGACTGGGCAAATGGAAAAATCCACAAACAATTCAGTGTAAACAATTTTGATGAAAAACATTAGTCAACATTCAACTTAATGATCGATTGAATTTGCTATAACAATTAATTTACACGTAAGTGTACACACATGTATGCATACTAGATGAATTATTTCACAATATCCAAAATTGGACAATAATATTTTCTAATCTAGCTAGACAACAGGAAATTTTCATTATTACTTACATTACATGAAACTATTGAAGTCTGTGAGCTACAAATTATATCTAAAAATTATACACATTTTAACAAGTGTTTACAGTTTAGTGTATTTATTATACACAAATGATGACTTAGTAATTATGACATACTAGTAAAGTCCACAGATTGACTTCCAGATTTCAGCTCAAAGGCTTGAAGATTTTTAGTGGCTCTTTCATCATTTTTTTTTCACTGAATATTTTCATTTTTATTTTCAAGACGCTGTTTTTGTTGAGGTCTTTTAGCAGTTTGATGCAATCCAAGAACTCCAAGGGCAATTTAAGAACTCCTGAATTTCTTTCTTACCTGGAAAAAATAAAAATTTAAAAGTTTAAAATATATTCAACTTACATGAAGAAAACTAGTAAAACTAGTGATAATGTAATAGACCTTTCAGATGTTCCAAAGCAGCTACATGTATCTAATTAAAAAATATAAAGTTTGAAGTATTTAGAGTCACCTGTACTCTGAACATGGGATATATGTATTTGACAGACAGATGAATGAATAGACTGATCACTATAGAGCACCTTAGTCTTAATTTTCAATAATCTTTATATTAGTGAAAATCAAATAGGAACTAGAGTGTTTCAAGGAATGTATATGTCACCTGCTAGGTATCGTCATTAAAGAGGTAAATAAATCTAAGAGTGGTCAGCTATTAATTTAATATTAGCATGGAGGTTCATGCATTTGCCTGCAAGGAAAAAAAGGATCCAAAAGTAAAAGACTGGGATAGAATCTGGCAATCAAAGAAAATATGGTTCCCCAGTCCTCAAATGAATAATTTAATTGAAATTATGAGGAATAACTATTTATCATTTTATTAATACACATGTAGGTGCTTCCAACAATCCTCGGAGGAAAGGAATTTCAGACTGTCTTTACTTTAATTGTCACTTTGTCAGTCAACACGATTCATTGTGGAATACTGATCCCAATGTATTTTCATAGTATTTAAATATAAGTTTGTGTGGTAACTGAATTTCATACAGTTTCAAAGTATAGTATCATGAGCTCAAAAACATATATAAATGCTAATTATCAAAACCCTGCCTCTCAAAATTTTGGAGATATAAGGTGTGACAGACGGACAGACAGACACCAGGTAAAGTGATCTCTAAGTGTCGTTCTGCTCTGCAGTTGACACAAAAATGAAAGTTAGTCAATTTTTGACCATGTATATCACTTCAGTGATGAAAGGAATGCTGAAGTGGTAAGTCTATCCTAATTATTTGAAAATACGGCAACCCCATTGGTCAGAATATAAAACATATGCTGTCCAGCCTTAATTTCATTGGCATAAAGCAGCACAAAACACGATTTGATTGGATGGTGCAACTTGTTTTTCTAGGGGGCGCTGTTGCAACCCTGGAAAAGAAAACAGGACTGGGGCTTGCCCCTAGAGGGCACTTACTGACCGGAAGTAAACAAACAACAGAAATAGCAATACACTAGAAATATGTTCATAGGACATGTATGCCTGCCGAGTGTATAGTAATGCAACATGAAATTTTGTGTTAGTGTATGAAGTTTGATGAGAATATCTTGAAAAGTTTCTTTAAAATTGAAATTGAAATCTAAAAAAAATGGATATAGATGATAAATTCTCACCAAATTATGTATAGATGCATAGCCTTAGATATCAATATTTTAAATGGTTTTAAAACCATGCAAAATGCAAATTGAAGGAAAGTGAGGTCAAGGTCACAGGAAAGGTCAAAAGTTTTTGAAATAGTTGAATAGGTCTTACTAATTATATATGTATCAGCATATTAAGTTTGATAAAAAATATCTTGAATGATTTCTTTAAAACTGAGCTAGTCACAAGCGTGGCGCCATGGTTAGAGCGTCTGCTCTAGAGTCGCGAAGTAAGGAGTTGATCCTTATGTCGCAGGTTTGAATCCCACTGTGGGACATGGAGACCAGTCCTTTGGATGAGACCTTATAAACCAAGGTCCAGTGTCACAGTAGGTGCTGGCATGAAAAGACCCCTCACTGCTCAATGGCCATGAGTGCAGAGTATAGGACAGAATTTGCAGCTTTCCACTGGCAAGTGGTGGCGTCTCCATATGAGTGTAAAATTCTCGAGAGGGCCTGCAGATTACCTGTAATGATTGCGCAGCTATGTTTAGGCTTCCCGAAGCTTTTAAATGGGCTCAAAACATAATATGTCATTGCGAGGTTGGTTTTAGTTTTAATTTAAAAGTATTGAACTTAAGTACTTCCAATTTATATAGAGGATTTCCTCGGCTATGTATTAACATATTTGTTATGATATCACATGACTTTGCTGATCACGTGACGGTCATTTATAATTTTTTGAAGTGTTTCATATAAATCGCTTCGGCGCAGTTGATTTACACAATAATTATTAACATTTTGTTATAAAAATAAGCTCATTGTATCCTTGTGTATCCGAAATGTGCTTGGGAAAAGTCATAGTATTACTTAGATACAAAATATTTCCAGAGAAATTCAACTTACCTACAAATTTGAGGGTATTTTCCACACAATATCGTAATCTGTATTAAAACAAAGCCAACACACATTTTTCCCAAGCAAGATTCAGCTAGAGAACAACCTCTTCTTACAGATTTCAACAAAAATTCTCAGATTAATCCTCATTCTTCACCTGCGCCAGACTCTTTTATACACACTAAATAAATTCTACCTCCAACCACGGGTATAAAACAGAGTACATTTCAAAAGTATATTTTTCATAAGCATTTTGAACATGCTGAATTTCAATCAAGGGTAGGTAAGCGGTGTATTTTTAAAATATTCTGACATATACGACTTAAAAAAACCTTTAACGACCCGTGAATTTTGCAATAGCTACCTAGCATTTTACATGCAGTTTCAAATAAAGTGTAAAGTTCATGACACTCTCCCCGTCATCACACCTCAAGATTTCAGTGACTTGACGTCATTTTCCATTATGACGTCATATTTTGGTAGTTCAGAGATGTGAAGGCACAGAGTGCACTGTGATATTCTACGGGAAGCCTAACCTACCTGCGTGACCAAAATCCCTACTAGGCTTTAAACTCTTCATTCTTGACCTGTATTTCGTCAAATAAGATTTTTCCAGTTAATTAAGGTAAAATTACTAATTGTTAAAACTGTAAATGATTTTTTTTTTTAACCTGAGCCAGATTTTTACTTTTCTAAAAAGTGTCTGTATTTGACTGTTGGTTCCACCTATCTCAAGGAAATGATCTGTAAAAGCTAGTAAATGTTAGAAATCATAATCTGTTCTCTATCTACTATAATCATGAGAAAAGGTGTTGAAAATTAACAGATGGAGATAAAATCAGCAGTCATATTAAAGGCTTTTTTTCAATAATCAATTTATTAGTGAAAATCATAAAAGTATTAGGCAAAAAGGAAAAATAAATGTTGTCATTAATTAACCTTGCATATCTCTACAATTTTCTGATAAGAAAATTATACCCGATGGATGCAATATAATCACCCTTTGCCTGCCCCTAAATTAAATTATGAAATTTTGATAGATTTTGATCTAGTAAGCAATTATTTAAAACAAGGTTCTTTTAGAGGTGCCTAGGGTCGAAATTCATAGAAAAAAAAAACTACAAAAAACGTGAAAACCTATTTCAATCATACTGGTTTATATTTATTACAAATGTCCTCATAGTCAGCATAGCCCAGAACGATAGACCGCAGACTCTCACCATGAACATTTTTAGTGTCCTGGTTCGAAACCATTTGTTGGCACATTTTTATTTTTTCAAACTTTTTACCTGTATAAACACTAAAGAACGAGTGCACTTATGGGCCCCGGTAAAATGTGACAAAATGAAGAATTAAATTAAGCATAATTTTCCATCTCAGATCATTAATTGATATCTAAACCATAAGATTCAACAAATTTTATCACTGAAATTCATGAATATACAAAGAGCAAAGCCATACAATGTGGTAGGGGTCAGCCGACATTCGTGATTTTTTATAGTAAATCGAGGACGGTCATTCATTTCAAAGCTTTTGTTTATTGTCAGCCTAACATTTTACAAACTTGTGCGATTGACAAAAAATGCATTATACATTTATAAAACTTGTGTGAAAGTAGGAAATTTGTACATGATTAGGCTTGTACTTAAAATATTAAAAATGTATGAAAAGTTCAATGTTTTTCCTATAACAAGCAAGAGCTATTTACCTGTATGACCTATGTTGAACCCACCCGTGGAATAAATTATTTAAAATACTGGTAGTCACGTGAGTTCTACCCAGGTAAACATTCCTCAAAGATGTTCACTGTAAAACATAACCACGTTTTGTATCATTATATCGAAGTCAAGCCACATAGAGAAGTTTGTATGTATTTAGTTTTAGGAACACAGGATGGTTAGGAGAGTTTAGTGTCATTAAAATGTCATCATAAATAAAAGTGTCAAACATTTTTAACATTCATGCAAGACAATGGTACTGGTATTGAAAGCCACCTAAATACACTTTTTTTCATTTTAAAATTTAAAGGAACTAATGTTAATAGTTATTGTATTATTTCAAACGCAAGCATGCAAATTTCTTAGTTTGATCACTATGGATACAGGTATCTATACAACTTCATTCGATTTTTTTCTCGGGTAAAATAGCACAAGAAGTATCATTCGGCAAAAGTGGATGCTCTTGTGTATCGAATCAACTGAGAGATATAAACCCCATATGCAGGTGATGAAGGTATATTGCTGAATAAGTAAGGGAAGTTGACGATTGAAAAGTTAAAGTCATTACGTTTATCTTAAAGCTTGGTTGTTAGATTACCATTAATGTAGAACTAAAGCAATACATGAGAAACAAGAAACTACACACATGTGGCCTAAAGTCAGTGACCGGAACATATATCGGTAAGCTTTTTCTAAAGACAGAAACCAATATTGGTCCTATAGGTCATCTCATATTTTTAACTAGAAGTGTTCCTTTGATATACTGTATTTTACTTAATTTCTATAGACTATACCCTGAAAAAAAAGGAGGAAAACAGGAACTACCTGTTTAAATGACCCCGACCACCGAGGTTAATCTAAAGTTTGTCCCTGCCTACCTGAAAAACAGACTGCCTCGGGCAGTCAGTAATTTCCAACTCTGGTTATGAGATGCTAAATGTTTAATATTTACAATTAAATGCTTATATTTACATTTTTAAATTCATGATAGATTGAGAAAGTCGATAAAATCATTTCTATATTAAGTCTGTATACTGTATAGGGGTAAAATAACTCGCGGTGTTAATATTCGCTATATTCACGGTGTGAATAAATCCGTGAATTCAAGAA